ATAATATCCTAGTTGTTTATTTTGGTTTGTGTTAAATAGTTGTAGGGTAAGTTGTTTTTTAGTATATGGATTACTGAAAGATTATCCAAATGTAGATAGATGGAGTAATTATTAGGAAGTCGTCTACGTAGTGGATTATAGCTGGGATGCCTTGCTGAGATACTATCTATGCTATGGAATCTGTGAATTGACAGAATATGCCATCTGAGGCTCAGTTGCCAAAGGCTAGAACTTTGTCAAAATATATATAGTCACTGCACTGGAAGCCTTGTAGAATCTGATCTACTAGATGAACTGGAAGTATTCGGTAAGCATCTTTGATATCAATTTTGAAGAGAGTGCAGCCTTTGCCATAGTAGTTTATTCAGCGAATTGCATGTATTACTGTTTCATATTTTGTTGCGAATTCAAGCTTATCAATTCTGTTATTTATGTTGTCATTAGGTGGTGAGGATAAGTGGGATATGACTCGATAAGTTATCAAATTTGTGTCTTTCTTTTCTACTAATCCGCAAGGGTTGACTTGGAAGCTGTCACATAGGGGTTTGCTTTCAAGAAACAGACCACAAATTCATTTGTTTGCTAATTCATTTTCTATGTAGTTATGAAATGCCTTAGGATCCTTGTTGATTGATTGGAGATTGTCTTGGATTATTTTGGTTTGGGGCCCTCTGAAGTTAAACCTGAAACTGTTTGTGATGCCGTTTATAAGGTAATCAATAAATAGGCGATTGGGATGAGTACGGGTGAGGTGTTGAAATGCTAGAATGTTAATGGGTGTTTGAATGTTGAAGTATTGTGTGTCGAGTTGTGCTAGTAGGTTTAGCTCTGTTTCAGATAAAGGGATGTCTAGAGGAGGAATTGCTGTGATGGTTTCATTTACAGATTGTAGTATTGGAGCCTTGTCTATTGTAATATTGCATAATAGTTTGAATTGTGAGATGTGTTTAAAGTCAAACGTAGTTGTCTAATAGATTGTTTCTGCAATGAGTTAAGAAAGGTAAGTATTATATTATTTTTGTTTGTTTTGTTTTTTTTTTTTTTTTTAAATTAGTCATTTCTGCTTGTTCCAGTGCAGGTGAAAGTAATTCGTTTGATTAATATATATATTTATATGCATATATATGTTATTATTTATTTATATTATTTTATTATTTTTAAGGGTCGAAAACTATTAACGCCCTCATTTTTTTTTTTTTTTTGTATAAGATTGTATTGCGCAAAGTTTTGTTTTTTTTTTTTTTTTTGATATTAGAGTTCATGTGTCATGCATTATTGAGTTTAATGCTGTTTTAAAAATTATTGCCTTTTTTTAGGGTTTTGGTTTGCAGCCTCCATAAGTTTGTTCATATTAGGTTTGTGAAAGAAGCATCTTCTTTCAGGATGACCAAATTTCTTGCAATTTAAACATGCATATACCTATTGGCAATTGGCTTCTTCAGGACACCCTCTCTTGTTCCAATTTATGCAAATTTGTCTTCCATCATACCATATGGTATCCTGTCTAGGCATTCTTGAATTGGTATTAGTGCGATATCTCTTTGTAGTGGTTATATCGAAGTTTTCACTTTTAGCTTCTATGTTGCGATCAAGGAGAGTTGTGTTATGGTTTGTTGTGAGGTTTAACCTGTGATCTTCATCATATGCAAGGACTGCTAAGAATTCTTGTTTTATACAGAGAGTATTGATATGGTCACGATATGCATTCAGTACTTGTTTTCTTATTTCATAGTTATTTAACACAGCTTCTATATATGCCTTAAATACTAGGAGCTATTCAGCAATATTTGTAAATCTTTGAGTACGGCTACATTTACGGAATGCGATAGTGCCTCTCTCAGTTGTTAATAAAGTGTAGTCTTCCTCATTGTTTTTAAGGTAGGACTTTATATTTCTGTATGTGAATTCGTGAAGATCCACTTAGGAACCTATGGCAATAGCCTTCCATAGGCGTGAAGGAAGGCTTGGTTTGCTAGGTATAGTTTTGATTAATTTTTGCCTGTTAGACTAGTTAAAGACCCACCACAGTCGAATTTGTTCAATTTGGGCTGCTAGTAGATTGGTAAAGCTATGCACAGGTATTAGGTTTTCTGAGTATAGAAATGAAGGATATCTTTGCGAGATTGTTTTGATTTTGATTGCTTGGTTGATATAGGAAGCTAAAAGTGATAACGCACTTGATGCTGATTGTTGGCTGGTGCTGTCGCTGTTAATCAAAAGGTTATTTAGAAGAGGAGTTAGGGGAAAATTACCTTGTTGCAGTGAGGTGTTGTTGTCTTGTTCGCTATGATGTTGGGAACTTGTTGGAATGTAATCATGGTTGTGAATTAGGTTGGTGTCATAGTGGTTTTAGTTCACAATATTATGCTGAGTTGAGTATGTGACATTTTGCTGGTTTGTACCTTTCTTGTTTATATTATGCTGGCTTATACTATGCTATTCTGTGTTCTGGTTGTTCTGGTTCATGATGCTAGGCCAATGATTAGAGATGTTTTGTTGGTTCAAGATGCTAGACTGTTGGTTTGAAATGTTTTGCTTGTTCAAGCATGATACTAATTGATCATTTAGTTTATTGATCATGTCCATCTGTGTGGCAGTTGTTTGATCAATATATGATTTTATTGTACTAATAATTGCATTAGATGAGACTTGACATGCTGCATTGATATATGCTTTGACATTGGGATCAATTTTTGATAAATCAAAGTTAGTAGTTGTGTTTCCAGGAACTGTATTGTTAGAAGTTGGGGTTTCTGTGTTTGTAGTGTTGCTCATAATAGAATTTTTGCGAAAAACTAAATTTGAAATTTTCAGAACAGAGTTTGTTAGAAATGAGGCTGAGGTATTTATTGAGTAGAATTAGGTGGCTTGTATTAGCATGCTATTATTGAGTGTGGTGACACACATAATTTATGGGACTTGTGTTCTGGTGCATTAGTTGGTTGCAGATCTGACATGGGGGCTCATGTACTATGACTGCAGATCTGCTACTAATTAGTGTGGGCATTGGTTCTTAGCCTAGTTTTTTGAATTATTGACTATTGGTCAATACATAATATGTAAGCTTTGTTAGGTTGTTTGTTAATTAAAAATCTTGTTAGTTTTAAGAATTATTTTTTTTATAAGTATTTTATAAATGATTTAATAGTTTGATCAAATTTTAATAGATCAATATTGTAGAATTTTAAAAATAAAGTTAGTATTTCAAAAGGTTTTAAAGATATTGAAATTAGAAATACTAGATCTTTATATACTCACTATATACTCAGTTTTTATAGTTATATTGAACTCAAAAATTTGCTCTTTACATTGAGTCTGACTATTATTTATTTAAGTTGTTATGTAAATAGGTTTTACTACCTGTTTATTTATATAATTCTTCTTAAGAATTAGCTTACTATAAGTAAGAAAAAGATCTAATCTAGAAGTAGTAGTTGTATTTATATATATATAAGATCTTATTAAAAAGAGGATAGAAAGAGAGAATCTTTTAAGGCAGTTGATTTTTAAAAGTTGATTTGAATTTTTTTATTATCAAATTATTAGCTAAAGTATATACTTTGTTTTTGAAATATTTAACAATATCTGAGTATAAAGTAGTTTGGTTTTGAATAATATCAAAATAAGTAATAACTCTTATAAGTATAAAAATATTAATAATTTCTGTAAGTAACTTGTCAATAACTTGTTGTTTTGTTAAGTCTTTGAGTTTAGAGTTTTGAAGTATAACTTTATAGTATAGTTTAAGATATTTATAAAAGTAATAACTTCTATTTCCAGAATTTGTTACTACTTTATTTATTTTATATACTTCTTTTTTAGCTTTATCAGCAAATTAATTGAGTAGCTAAGTAGGAATAGGTTTATTAAAAATAACTTTATGTACTTATTTTTTTCAAAAAAAGAATCATTAAAAGTTAATTATTTTTAGATTTTATTTTATTTTTTAAGATAAAGTTTATAAGAGTATTCTAATACTATAATATTTATTTATAAATATTAGAGAAATTATACTATTTTTTAGTATAAAGTATATATCTTTTTTTCTTTTTTTTTTTTTATATAATACCAAAATAAAAACTTTATTAATTGAAATTATAGAGTTAAGTCTATATATAATAGTTAAGATTTCTAAAATATTTGTGCTATATTTAAGACACCTAATGTAATATTATACCCTCTATTTCCTGATAAGATTAAAATAATAGTATTATGCTTGGTACTTGCAGAACTATAAAGCTAACTTTTTTAAATATATCTTTAACAGTACCATATTCACTTTGTGTCTTTCTTTTTTTTTTTATTAAATTCTTCTGTTATAACATATTAGGTCTAATATATACTTTTTAAATGATACTATAGCAGCTTAGTGGAGCTTTTTTTCTACAAAAAAACTCCTTATGTTTGCACTTTGATACTATTCACTTGGCTGTTTTTTTTTCTTTTGTTATATGACTTTTCTCACCTTACTTCTATTACTTTTCTTGCTAATTATACTACAATTATCATTAGTGAGATTACTATAGTTATTACTATAGTCATTATCATTATCATTGCTATCATCATAGTTATTATCATTATTATTGCTATTGTTATAGTCATTATCTTGGTTATTATTATGATCATTATCATAGTCATTACTATAGTCATAATTATAGTTATTATTTGAGATATTATTATTTGATGTAATTTCTTCTAATTGCATTGATATAAAACTCATTATTTGTTGTCTAAGTTTTTTTTTTGTTTACTTAACTTGATCTAATTTAAGATAATTTTTTAAATATTATACTAATTATCCTTTACATTTATTATAGATGCGAACTAGAGATAGACAAAGTAAATAATATATTATTACTGTTACTTATTATTTTTAATTAATTCTTATGATTATTATATAATAAATAATAATAAGTAAAGATGCAAAATTCAATCTGATCAACAAATTATTGAATTTAAAAATTCATATTCTCTAATAAGTAATAATCATTTATCATAAGTAATAGTTAGTAATTATATATAAGTATAAGTACTAGGTAAAAAAATAAGTAATTATTATTTATATTATTATCTTGTCTATCTCTAATATGAACTACAAATTACAGTAAACTGTAATTTAATCTAAAACTACAGTTTTAGATTAAACTACAGTTTATTTTATTAACTAATAGTTTACAGATTATATTTCTACTTGATCAATATAAAATGCAATATAGTATATTGCTAAATAAGAGAAATTCTAGTTGAGGCTCTATTTATATAATAGTACAGTTTATAGTTTATCAGACCTAATTTCTGAAAAGTCTTCAGAAATTAAGTTTGTTAAACTTTAGACTATAAAGCCTTTTTTTGATTATTTCGTATTTGAATCTAAAAATGTTTGTAAACTTTAAACTGAACACAGACCAAACTTATAACTGTGTTTGAGTCTAGTTTAAATTCAGGAACTATAAGTTTGAGTTTGAGTTCAGGTTTGAAATTAGTAAAATTATACTGTTCAAGTTCAGTTTGAGTTTAGATTTGATCCAAACTAGACTGAACTCGAACTGAATCTAGAAACTCTAGTTAAATTATAAAATAAATACTTATTCATGAATATTTTACTATAAATACTTATTTATAATTAATTAATTACCTAATACTCTTTAGTTAGTATGCAGGTATTAAGATAGTTAATTAGTATAATTAAAATTATAAATATAAATACTTATATCTAAATACTTATTACTAAATACTTATTTACAATTAGTTACCTAATACTCTTCAAATA